TATGTATTAATGCTTCTTTTATCATTTTACAAAATATCTTTGCATATTTCCACATATTTCATAATATTTCCACAATGTCTCTAATTTTTACAATATTTCCCCTCGACATTTCCGACATTTCCAACATATGTCCTATATTTTGGTAAGCGACATTTCCATCGACATCGACATTTTAAACATTGATTGGGACAGGAAGGGGGAGAGCAAACAACTGTGACAAATTCTCCCCCTTTGGACAATGCCTCTCTTGAGAAGAATCATAAAAGGAAGAGAGCTATCAAAGGTGACATCCATTGAGACATACCGAGTGCCAGTCTTCGTATCAAAACAACAGTAACCCTTTTGTGTGGGGGAATAACCAAGGAAGATACATTTGTGGGCTTTTGGTTCAAATTTATGTCTCTGGACACTTGGGATATGTACATAACAAGTACAACCAAAGACACGGAGAGGAATAGGAAAAAGATCCTTGCCCGGATGAAGAAGATTGAATGGAGACTTAAACCCCAAAACCCTAGATGGCATATGGTTGATTAGGTAGGTTGTAGTAAGAACATCACCCCAAAATTTTGTAGGGACATGTGAGGCAAATAGAATACTTCTTGCAACTTCAACAATATGCCAATTTTTTCTTTCAACAACTCCATTCTGTTATGGGGTCCTAACACAGGAGCTTTGGTGAATAACCCCCAAATCAGTGAGATAACAGGTCAGGTTTTTCTCAAAATATTCTTTTGCATTATCGGATCTAAAAATTTTAATTATGGTATCAAACTGGGTTATAACAAATTCATGGAATTGCCTCACAAGTCTGGGAACTTCATTACAGGACTTCATAAAAAATATCCAAGTGAACCGAGAAAAGTCATCAATGAACAAGATAAAATATTTGTAGCCACCCATAGAAGGTAAGTGGTAAGGCCCCCACACATTAGAGTGCAGAATATGAAATGGAGAAGATCCTTTTATTACTCAGAGGATAACTGATTCTACAATGTTTTGACAATTCACACGACTCATAATGAAGACTGGATAGACTAATTCCCTTAAACAGTTATGGGAATAAATGACTTAATGCAGAAAAAGAAAGATGACCCAAACGAAAATGACATAACATGACTCAACTGATGGACTCTGTAGACGTAGACCCAAAAGCAGCTTTTCCAGGTTGTCCATGGCTCTGTCCAGGAGTGTCTAGCAGATATATTCCATTCGCCTCATGGCCACTCCCAATCACTTTCTGAGACTCCAGATCCTGAAAA